CCAAGTGAAGCCTGAATCAGCCTTCAAAATCATCTATCGAGTACCACCTCACCCATCCAACTAGCTGCTTCTCCATCTTCTAGTCGCTGCGGGAGCGATTGGCATTCGTTTATTCAGACCCAATCTATGCCCACAGAAGAGATTGGCCCATGCTATTCAACTACCGTGGCCGCAGATCGATCGCACGGATGACGCATCACAGTTTGATTGCAGCGTTGTGGTGTGTGGGGCGTGAAACACGTCGCACCACCCTTACCCCACCCCCACCCCATTCCTCTCCCTTTCAATCAATCACCGTGACTTTTGAATGACTGAATAACTATCCCCGTTCAATATGCCATTTTCTTATTTGATCTGTACAGGCCAGAAGATGATTCAACGAATAGAATTCTTCGTGTTCTGAAATGAATATTGATTGATCTTAGGTTTTTAAACTACCTCATGTCATGGATATAATATGCCTATTCACATGCAAAACAATTACTTGGGACAACAAAAGCACTCAAGTAAATGAAAGATTTCTTTGTGCTCTTGACGACCAATGCTGTTCCGTATTGAGTGTACTTGTTTCTTCTCTCGCTAGGTCCGCATGAGTTCTCTACTGTTCACATTTTTATGTACGATCGTGAGGCTCTGCTACGCAATTTTTTTTACCTCGTATTAAGTTTGTTCTAACTGATTACAGAAAAAAATTTCCGAGAGCTTTTTAGTTCTTTTGCTTAACTGCGATGGGCTGACGGGGCAACATATATGATCTAGTCAGTATATTCACTTATTTCACCGTGTTAAAATGCATACCTGTCAATTGAAATGGCGCTCTCGATGGATTACATGAGTGCAGCGCACTAGCACAGGATCAAATAAATATTTTTCGAGCACCCCAACTAGGAAATACAGATGGCGATAGCCCTATTTACCGCTCGTATCCGCGCCTGTGGAGGGAGATAGAGTGTACATAAACGGATTTTGAGTAAGCTAATAATTTTTCATGCAGGATGCGGGGGTTGGAGGACCAGACCAATCCTACCAAAATGAAAGGCAATAAACTTCTTTAAAATGAGGTTTTATTTTACTGTTGAGAGATTGGAGAAAGTATTTATACTACTGATGTGCTTTCCTTGTTCACTTGTATTTAGTATCAGTGCCAGCGCTCACCTTTGCTAATAATTCTATCACACCGGATTGGGGCATCATGACAATCACGTGGCTCATACTCGGCACGCCACTTGTCGTCCCCGTCTTGTCGGACAGAGCGGTTAGAATGTTATCCAAAGAAATTCTATCAGTGGAAGTTCCTGGGAATCCGGATTTCTTGTCATCCACCGTTGCAAAATCTTGAGTCACGTAGACCGGTTTGAATTTCTGTCCCAGAGATACTGACTCGCTGGACATTTCCATCAAAAGTTTTGGTAAATCTATCAAATAGAAGTTGTGCCATGCAGAGGGGGAGAGAGAGAGTCAGTGCACTTTGGCAAACTAAGGTGATGTAAACTTCGGCTGATGAAGTAGTTTACTTTCGTTATATGTTGCCAACCATTTCCAGTTGTGAAATCTTTAAAATGTTGGTGTGGTACTATTCGTAGTCATGAAATCGAACCCGGAGTGATTCCCCGTTCAATCAGTAAGATATCAAAATTGATTAGTAAAAACCAAGCACCGCAAGTAAGACTGATTGAAGACAGCAGCCACAAGAGCTGGCATACCGGGAAAGCAAGTGTTGTAACGAAGGTGTCTGCACTGACAGGTGGGGTCAGGCTACAA